GGGGGGGGAGAAGTTGGGAAAGAGAGGAGAGGCTTCCAGTTTTCACCTTAAACTGGTGAGTAGAGCTGCACATGGGAGACAAAACCGAAAGTGTTGTATATCTACTCCTCCGGATCAGGTGTTTATTTGTTTATTTATCTATTTTTGCTCCATACAATCATGTTATTCACGTGCATACTCATAACTTTCCGAGAAATGTTCCTGTGAAGTCCTGGTCAGATAACCTAAGAGAGGATCGAAGGCATTAAGTATGGTTTATTACGTTTGATGATATAGAACAGAACATGTTGTAAGGACTTAGCCATATCAACCTATGATTGTCAATAGCCAGTTGATACCTCTTACTAAAATAAAAACTAACCCTCATCAAAATTAAAGATCTTTTAAAAGTATAGAGTGGCCGCTGTAATAATGTTTTTATTCCAATTCAAATGAAAGTGAAAGTGAAAAATTATCTACGCATTCCTCGCTTGGTACGCCAAAGTGAAGCGTGGCGTGACACGAAGGTTCCATGCACATTTCGCCCTACCCCAACCGTTCCCCGAGGCCCGTTAATTTAATAATGCACTGTGGAAAATTTTTCTTCATAATCAAGATACATTCGTATGTTCCCCTTGCTGCTTTACCGAATTTGCTGGTAACATAAAGACAAAAGTAACATTGTCTAACGGAAGAAAATGAAGCTCGAGGCATGGTCATGTAGAAAGGGTCGATCGGGAGAAAATCCCAGCTTTAATTCAAATTCAACTTTGCATTGATCTATCATATGCTAAATTGATAAATCATCACCACATTAAGATCAAAATACATAAAGATGACTTAAATATTATTTCATTCCGTGCATTCGGTCTGATCACAGATACGATCTAAGACGTGACAGCACTCTGTGGTAAGGGAAGGCTTTTACAGTTAACTTAAAGGTTAAGCTGCCCGTGAATTTCAATTTGGTGAAAGGCTGGTGTTGACAAATCTTATCATTCTATTTGAATAACACAATTAACTTGGAACAACGTGGCCCACGATAATATTTTTACAGATGATAGTAGGACAATTTGCACCAGCAGATAAAGGATTTTGCTAAGATGGGCGGTACATGCACATAAGGATAAAAAAGAATACTTCGCTTTGATAGGTAAATACGAAGGTATGACAATTTCAAAAAGTACATGTATAATTTATACCCGGTAGGACACACGGGTGAACGAATTACTTCTTTTTTAATACTTCCTCAGGTCAGCAATTTCAAAAGGTAGGGGTTCTTTTTTTGAAAAGTGGACCTTTTATCATGAAACTTTCGTGTATACCTACATGCAGATAACATTTACTTAGAGCAGATCTTTTCCAGGTGTGACAGAAATGAAAGTCCTAGGTATGGAAGTCCGGAGTCCCATATGATTAGTACAGGTTAGGGTTATAGTCGAAGTACCGTGGTTAGTACCGGTATATGGGGTGTATATGTTATGCACAAAGTAATGGGGAACGGACTACGGTTGCTAGCTATAGAGGACTACCATTCTTGACACACCTGATCAATAAACGACGTGCTGCCATTTATCGTGGCCCAATAATTGCAGCACTTTAGGGCTGTTTTCATTAATTTACAACTACGTTGCTACCAGTATGTTGCTAGCGTGAGCGACATCGTTCTCTCCGTGACATCCAAGCAAATTCCATGCACTGACATTATGGGGAGTTAAATGTACCTGTAGGTACAAGTGATTTTTTTCTTTTCTCTGGGATAATAAACCTGATAAAATTAAAAGAAATATCATTATAAGGGATTATAAAGCTGGGATTTTGCGTACAACTGAAGGGGAAAGTTTCAGTTCACTACAGGGTTGTCGGTTGACAGCATACCAATAGAGCCACCTTTAGATTAAATAGCAAATGTTGAGTAAATTGACCGAGTTAATCGACCAACCTTTAAGACAAACAATTAAATTTAAGAGAGCTGTAGGTCAAGCCTAATTGAACGACTGGTCGATAAATAACCACGAGTTGTTCACTATCTTCCATAAGAATATGAAGTGGGATCAATTTTACTACCTTAAAATCGAAGTTCAATGCATGTTTACCTGTGTACTGATATCGAAGTAGCTGCCTTGTTTTATCGTATTCACATGTTTGCTTTAGTGATCTAATGGGAATGAGTCGGTCGATAATGACCACTCGAAATAAAAACCGTGCGTGATAAGCTTGATCGCACGATCAGGTCGATCCAAGAGTCTACTGGGATCAGTCTTGAACATATCAACCGAATACAAATCTTTATAGTGTGGATGTAAACGGGGGATATACTGGGTACACGTGCAACATACATACATGTACATGTAGCGTGCTTTCTGCAGAGAGAGAGAGAGAGAGAGAGAGAGAGAGAGAGAAAGAGAGTTCATTTTGTATCATGTTCTAGCTCAATAATACACACACTGGACAATAGAAGTGTCACCCCCTAACTCAGAGTAAAAAAAGTAGGCAGATATTGGGTACTTATAATGCCTGGTCTACTAATAATGTGACTAATGAGTATAAAACCGCTACACCATGGAATTGTATTGTTGGTCTTGTACATGTACAGCAAATGTCATTCCTGTCTTCCTCCAATATGGCAAGATACAGGCAATTATCTAACGGTTATAGGTGCAAGTTATTAACCTGAAGAGGCGGAATATAAGCAATGTCAGAATATCGATACAATTAAATTGTTCAGTCAGAACCGTGCAGAGGGTCTGGTCTCGGCATAAAAACACTGGATCAAGAGACAAATTGCCTCCGATGGGTCATCCAAGAAAAACTACAGGCCGTGAAGACC